GTGATTAATATCTGGAGTCTAACGAAAGCCTTTTAATCAACCTCAGGGGCCGCTCAGTGCTCTTACCTTCAGGAAACGAGAATGATTGGGATTCTGTGGGCGCCTCTGAAAACCTTCCTCCATCTGTACCTTTCTCTTCCTGCCTTCTCTCCAGCTCATGCCAGGGCCTCTCAGGGCCATCACACGCACTCCCCTGCCCCCTTCTCTCTCCTTTGCCTCTTTATGCACCCTATTACCTGTCAGAGAACTAGAGACCTAGAGCTGGAAAAATCTTCTTAAAGATGATTGAATTTGACATCCTGCTTTCAGACAGTAAGACTGAGACCCAGAGAGGTTCCCACTCGAGGTGGCACAGCAACTAGGGTTAGAGCCACATTCGAACCCCTGAACTTGGAAACAGTCCTCTGCACAGGGTGTCTTCCTCATTTGGTTGAGCTTCCAGCAACGTCAGTGCAAGTGTCGGCGTCCCCCTGGCCCTGGGCTGGGGAGGGAACCCCGTGTTCGGGTCTGTAGGTGAGACAGCGTGGTCACAGTTCTATGAGACTGTGATCAGGGCTTTGATAGAGAAAAATCCAGGCGAGCATGGAAGCACTGAGGGTATAGGCAGAATGGGGTCTCCCGACTCAACCTGGTAGGTTCCAAGCAGGTTGAATCTGGAAGAATGGGTGCGGTTTAGGCAGGCGAAGGATGAGACCATGAGACCAGGGTAATTGGTAATCTGGGAGGAGATGAACAAAGACTGATTTGTGGGATAGCATGGAGTGGGGCGGGAAATGCAGGTGGAGTCAGCAGAGGTAGGACCTTCTCATCTCATTCCCTGTGGAAAAGCCAACACGAGACAAAGTGCAGATTAGTCAGGTTGGAAGCAGCCAGAAAGTAGTGAAGGTCAACTAAAAGCTTTCAAAGGCTTCTCTGTGCAAACCCTGATCCGCAGGGAGGAGATGGTGCCCCAAAGAAAGAAGGAATATAGCACATGCACCCTGCAGCCTGGACGGCAACAGTGGGCGGACTGGCCACGTGCCCAGGAAGGGCTCAGAGCGGAGGCCGCGGGGGATCGTGCCTGTACTTACCTCCTCTCTCCAGGCCTCAGCCATGTCCCGTGTGAGTGGAGGGGTTGTAGCACAAGGTAGTCTCCGTGATCCCTCCCCAGTGCTGATGTTCTGCGTCACTAACAGCATTGCCTGCTGTGCACTGGCCTGGTACACGAGACTTTGTTTATCCTGCGTGGCAGTTCCTCGAGACCGGGTTGTCACTCCTGTTTTATAGGTGGGGAGGCTCAGGCTCAACAAAGTTAAAAATCTTGCCCACGGGGGCTTCCCTGGTGGTGCAGTGGTTGAGAGTCCGCCTGCCGATGCAGGGGATACGGGTTCGTGTCCCGGTCTCGGAAGATCCCACGTGCCGTGGAGCGGCTGGGCCCGTGAGCTATGGCCGCTGGGCCTGCTCGTCCGGAGCCTGTGCCCCACAGTGGGAGAGGCCGCAGCAGTGAGAGGCCCACATACCGCAAAAAAAAAAAAAAAAAAAAAAAAAAAAAAAAAAAAAAAAAAAAAAAAAAAAAAAAAAAAAAAAAAAAAAAAAAAAAAAAAAAAAAAAAAAAATCTTGCCCACGATTACATACCCCAGTGGTACATTCCCCACCCACACCCCTAGTCCCCTTATGTCCGGAATTATTATGTCCCCTCAGGTTTCCCAAGAAAAGCATTCATTCATTTATTCATTCATTCGACATACACTTACTGAATCTTGCCCCTGTGCCAGGCACTGTGCTAGGCCCTGGGAACGGACAGTGGCATATACGTAAAATAACTGTAATAGCCTCAGACAGGGGAAGTGCTCCTTATGGCTTGAAGAAGGCTTGCAAAACGTTTGTTTCACATCCCTCATGGCAGCCTTAAAAAAGATCATGTGTGGTTTGTTATCCTTGTTTTATGAGGTGAGGAATCTAGGGCAATGATTCGCCTCAGGTCCCCATGCTAGGAAGTAGGCCAAAGTCCAGCTTCAGTCAGGTCCTGTCTGAGGCTCACTCCTTTCTTCATCACAGCAAAAGGCAGAGTCAGTAAAAGTGGCCATCCTCAGCCTCATTAGTAATCACCCCAGTGAGGTACCACTCCACGCCCGCCAGGTTGTCAGAACCTTAATAATCTGACACGGAGTGCTGTTGGAGCTATGGGGCAGGCAGTCCTTGCACACGCTGCTATTAGGGGTGCCAGGCGGCACAACCATTGTGGAAAACAGTTTCCCAGGTATCACCTAGTAAAGTGTAGTAGGCACACACCCTAACACTGGGCAGTTCCAGCCTAGGCCCAGACTGAGCATTTCCTGCATGTTTGCCCCAAGAGACGCAGCTCAGGGTGCCTATAACTGCAGAACATGGGAAACCATCCAAGTGTCCATGGACAATAAAGTGGGTCAGCCTATTGTGAACTAGTCAGACAGTAGAACACTACTCATCAGTGAAAGTGAATGACCTGCAGCTATACATACACTCCAGCATGGGTGACTCCCCAAACTGGAATGTTGAATGAAAAGAAAAAGTCAGATGGATATACAGAGTATGGATACACCTGTAGAAAGTTAAAAATGGGAAAAGTAGCAACATGTTATTTAAGGATGTATGCATATGTGTTAACACGAAAAGAAAAGCAAACATTGAGGAGAGTGTTTACCTCTGGTGGGGATGGTACTGGGGAAGGGCATTTAGGGGCTTCAGAGGGACCAGCAATGCTGTCCTGTTAAGCAGGGGCCTGGACACATGGGTGTTGTATCATTATCTTTAAAGTATAAATTTCCAGTGTATATCTACTCTTGTGTTGAAAAATTTAAAATACAGCCATGCCAGATATGTGAGTTGGTACTTTGGAAGTATGTCAGGAGGCATATTTTCCTTTCTCCCCCTTAAAGGTATGTACTCGAATGTACCATTAATCCTTGGCCTTCTTGTTTCTTTTCCCTGTCTAGAGTGTTTGTACGACAGAATAGCACAAGAAACTGTGGATGAAACTGAAATTGCACAGAGACTCTCCAAAGTCAACAAGTACATCTGTGAAAAAATCATGGATATCAATAAATCCTGTAAAAATGAAGAACGAAGGGAAGCAAAATATAATTTGCAATAAACTTTGGATTTTTCATAAAGCCTTCTCGTTTTCCTTGTGTGGCGTGTGATTTGCGGGCGATGGTGTTGTCCAGATCAGACCCCACCATGCGTGGTGGTGTGTGGGTGGGAAGCCAGTAGGGTTCTGAGGTCAGTGTCTTGTTCTGAACTTGGACTTCCCACTCCAAGAAGGCGGATGGATTTGCTGAGACTCAGGCAGCAGCCTGGCGCCAGTGTTGTTCTGGGGATGGTGAAAGCGCTGTCTTTTCGGAGGCGGATAAAGTGTCTGAGTTACCTATCACTTGGCCAAGAATTTGAGCTGATATTTTTACCTTTCTATCTTTGTTCCTCTATTTTGTTCCATAATAAAGCTTCATTAATTCATTGCTGTAGACAATCATTAGCCTCATTTATTTAAGGATGGATATTAAGTGTACAGTGGAGGTGACCAGTGTCCTTTGAGGGGCGGAACATTCAGGCTGAAGGAGAGAAAATTCATAAGGAATGTGATTACTGTCTACAGATCTGAAGGGCTGTCTCGAAGCAGATTACTTTCTCTTACCTCAAAGGACAGATCTAGGACCTGTCACTCAAGGTGATCTGAGATTCAGCTTTCCTGATAATTTGAGTCAATCTTTGTAAAGGAGTGTCAGGGGGTGGTAATGTTAGATGTGGTTCAGGGTTACCTTCAGAAAGTCAGAGGCAACGTCACCTGGTGTTGGTTCGTTCATCCTATCTTGTATCTCACATGATCTTCCAAGTTGCATAATTTTTATCTCGTTCTGTAGCTGCGTCTCTAAAGTGCCTGGTGCCCAATCAAGCAGACCACATTTGATCTTCCTGTTGATTAACACTTTCCTTTCTGTAATGCCTATGAAGTCAGCGTAGTATGTTGGAAATGGCAAGGGTTTGGGGCTGAGGAGTTTGGGTTCCAAACCTGGCTCCACTCCTGGCTCCACTGCTTGCTTTGGGCTTAGTGTAACCTCTTGAGTTTCAATTTTCTGTTCCATTAAAAGGAGATAATATCTACTTTGCAGAGTTGCTGTAAGTTATAGAGCACTATATATAAGTGCTCAGTAAATGTTGGTAGTTATTATTTTCTTCATTTCTGGTTATTGGCTTTCAGGCCTTGGTTGGAAAACTTTGGCCTCTGGTTTCTCTGATGGTTTATCCACTAAACCATTAGATTACTGGTGGTCTATAAGCAAAAGCTCAGGGTCACTAGGGTGAGTAGTGGAGGTGGCTACCTCTCTGAGGAATTTTATTTTAGTACATAAAATAATTCTTTGTAATCTGAAATATATGCTTGCTAATAGGATGTATAGGTATGAACTTCCTTTTATGGTATTTTCCCAGTTCTCCACAGACTAGTGGTGTGATCTTGGACCAATCACTTAACTTCCCAGAGTCCTTACCAGTACAATGAGGAAAATTATGCATACCTCACAGGCTATGTGGATATTTAAATAATAATAACAACAATAACAGATACTTAATATGTGCCAGGACTTTTCTGAGTGTTTAACAAAAGTTAATTCATTAGGTAAGTAAAGTTTGTGACACTTAGTAGCGTTCAGCAAATTCTTGTTATTAAGATGTGTTCATTTTAATGGCAGGGGAGCAGCTTGGGCATGAGTAGTGTGAATGCATGAGAGGCTGGGAAAAAGTATACATGATTTGAACTCCTCCCATTTCCCTCCTAAGCATGGCGAAGATAACAAACACCCAGAGGCTCCATTTCCCTAC